GGGCCATGTCTTCAATGGTGTCAAGTCATTGGCACCCCTCATCTTTGGGTCCCCATGCTGGAAGACGTACGGATCCAACAGCCGCTGGACATGACGTCAACGATTTCATGTTTTGTCTCCAAGTGGAATGTTGATTACCACGTGGTCGCCTTTAGCCAGGTCGTTGACGAGCGAATAGAGCGCTCAGGTGCCATGCGTAGGACGTAACCGAGCCATCTCAACTGGCGCAGCAAAACCAGTTTTTCAAAGGGAATACTAGCATTCCCCAAGATGCGACGTCGAACGTCATTACTATTAACTTGATGTTGCCACCAAACACGAACGATCCTCCTTAAGCAACCGTTATCGAAGCTAGAACGACAACGCATGTCTTCCACGCGAATCGGTCAGGACTCGCTCCCATACAACAACAGTGAGCGAACAGATGCGCTGTAAACGCGGCCATTTGGCGAGGATGAGACGTCGCGACGACGCCACAAGTGCCTCAGATTGGCAAATGCTGATCGAGTTTTAGCGATACGAAGAGAAACTTCTTTGCTGATAGTGTCGTCAGCAGAAACACAGCTCCCAAGGTAGACGAAACTATCTACCTGTTCAAGTTGTGCATCTTCGAGAGTGAGCACGGGAGCAGATGAAAGCCAATCCTTCAGCAGTACTTTACACTTCGATGGGACGACGCTCATGCTATACTTCGATTCTTCAACCGCCAAACGATCAAGAATGAGTTGCATACCTTGAAGATCGTCACCAAGTAAGGCGATACCATCAGTATAATCTAAGTCCGTCGCGCGCTCACCCGGTAGAAGCTCTGGTCCAAAATGTTGGAAACCTTCTAGAGCAGTCGACAGAACGTCTTCCATTGCGAAGTTGAAGAGGAACGGGGACATTGGGCAGCCCTGTCGCACACCGGTATTGACAGCGAATTGCGAGGAAAAGTCACTATAGACCCTCACTCCACAGGATGTGTGAAGGTCAAGTGCTCGTAAGATGTCGGTATATTTATCTGGCACCCCGTTCTTTAGCAAGCAACGCCATAAAGCAGGTCGATCAACGGAGTCAAAAGCGGCAGGTATGTCTGGTAATGCAACGATTGTGTGCCCGTTATAAATGTGGCGATGTTCGAGGAGCTGGCGTAGCGTGAAGATTTGATCCGCGCTTTCGAGACCGGGACGGAAACCAGCTTGTTCTTCACGGTAGGATGATTCACGTGTTGGGGGTAATCTACGGAGCAGAATGGAAACCACTAGCTTGGTTGCAACCGAAATATGACTAATCCCGCGATGATTTACACATGAAGTGCGAGCGCCTTTCTTGAAAATCGGGACAGTAACTGATTCGTCCCTGAAGGAAGGCACTTTCTCTTCATGCTAGAATTTTGCAAACAGCGAGGTCAGCTGGTTAATGATCGCCACGCCGCTGTAAATGAACAGCTTCGGAAGAAATCCGTCTGAACCCGCAGTCTTGAACTGCTTCAAGCATTGGATCTCGAAACAGACTCCCGCTTCGTTGGGTGGATTCAGTGGGACGAGCCAGGGTGGACAACAAGGTGTACTGCATGTACTGATGGATGTTGGAGGCCAGTTGAACTGCTAGTGAGACTGCTCGGCTCAGCGGTCCATTCGCCTCTGTTGGTTGGTGGTCGAAGACTCATAAACCTCGCAAATGACCTCACTGACACCAGTGAACCGAATGAGTTGATAAAGCTTGTGAGTGTTGCCAGAGAGGGCAGCGATCTCCATCTCTAAAGCACGCTCAGACCACTATTCCTCGCGATCCTTGTACAGGCTTTGGTTGAGCAGCCGGTTGGCAGAACGGCGCCGCTCGTTGCAATCTGATTCCGCTAGGATATCTTTGCAGCGTTCGGACAACTCCAGAGAACGAGCAGAGACCTAAGCTTTCAAGGGGCGTCGAGTTAGGCTGCAGCTTGACTGTCCGGAAATGGTCATCGCTTTCTGTATACAGGTCCAGTGTTGCTCCAAGTCTTGCAGTGGATTGCAACTGAGTGCATATGCCAGTGAAGACTGATAGCTCGTTTGGACAGAGGAATCAGTAAATCTGTTTACATCAATCTTGCGGTACTTCGTGTTTCGGGACGCCACAAAACACATACAGATACTCGCGCAGACCAGTGCACGATCTAAGTCAACGAAGGTGGATTAAAAGGACCTGCAGTCCATTACGCTGCCATGCCATCTGAAGCTAATTGCAGTGTGATCAATTTGAGACCACGGTTGTGTTAGCGATAGAGAACGCCAAGTTTCGAAACGCTTCTTCGTACGTCTAATGTTACTGCTCGAAACAGATGGTTGTATTCGCACGTGAGAACTGTCTCTCCGTTATCAGAGCGGTTCTCATTGAGCGCGTGGTGACCATCAAGTTAGGGTTCGTGTGGTGACAGGCGACCAACCCGTGCATGAAAAACTCCAAGCAAAGACAACGACATCCGACCTATCAGCGTTAGTCAAGAGCTGTTGTAGATCCCGGTAGAATTCGTCCTTGACCGAGCTGCTACTGTAGTCAGTTGGAGTGTACATGGTGATCACAAACAGGTTACGTCCCTCTTCGCGGTGCTTGTTGATTATACATGAACCCCGAAGCCGAAATGCACATAATCGGCTGTTAATCGGGAACCAGTCCAGTAGTGCCGCATCGGCTTCGCCACTTTGTGCTATACCTACACCAGCCAAACCAGCTGAGGCTGCTTCTGGATCTACAGAAAGACCCAAGTGATATCTGGCTACGTGGTCAGTGGGGGATGTCAATGTAAGCGCAGTGTTGGGCTCTTGCAGTTGGGTTTCTGAAAGGCAGCAGACATCAATGTCAAGGGCCTCTAGGGTGCGCGCTAGACCGGCTTGCTGTCCAGTCTGCGTGAGTGTCCGATCGTTGTAGCACGCCAGATGGAACGAGGGTCCGGGACGAAGGAGAGCCATAGGTTGAACTCCGTGGTTCTCGGTGCAACCGGAATCGCAGCCAGATCCTTGAACACATGAATCGGATAAGGGAAAGTAAGGATTGTTAGCAAACAAACAAGTGGCGTATGATGAAGTCGCGTAAGTGAGAAGTAGAAACGGTAGCTGAATAGCACGTTGTAGTACAGTCCATGGTTTTGTGAGAGGGCGTGATACTACCCGGTTGCCCAAGCCGACGTAGGGAGTTGACTTAGGGGACTCCACCAAGAACCACTGACTAAATAAACTACCCTCAAGGCGGCGTGGCAAATTTAGGGAATCGCACCCACTGGGAGGCACTGACTGAGTATTCAGTTTATGCGTCTTTGTTTGGTAGATCACCAACCGGCGGTCCAATACTCCCTTCGAAATCAGCACAATTGCTGGAATACAATGTTCCACCGAGGTGGAACATTGTCACCAACCACTTCGCTAGAACAGCGTACACACGAACTACCCAGCTGGCACCACGAGGAGGTAGCTGGGCAAGCCAGAGGTTCTCATCCGTTATCAATATTGCGAGCATAATACAGATAGTCAAACGTTATTATTGAGGAATCGCTACTACCCAGTCGAGGATCGTTTGAAACTCAACTCGTATGAAACATAACTATCAACTCTACCTAAAGGTAGGATTAAGTCCAGTAATGATGGCATGTTAGAAGCGCGGTGTCTGTTTGGTCGATATACATTGTTATGCAAGACTGCCATATCCACGAACACAGGTAGTTTCAAGTTGGATGATGTCCTGGAGGGGCGCTGGTAGTATTGAATTCACCCAGTAAATAATTGTACGCGTATTTTTGGAACAGCATATTAGAGAGCGTTCATCAGAAGGTCACCTTTGTCTGCGGAGGCGTTAGGTGACCTGTAAACAAGCAAAAATTACGCGTCTTTTGAGATCCGCCAGCTTTTTACCACGGTCCACGGGAGTAGTCGCGGCTCCAGAAGGCTTGGTTGTGGTGCGTCACTCCTGCTTAGCCACTCTTCAAAGGCGATCTTATTTCTGGCTTATAATATAATTTTTCCGCATAATAGCCGGCGGCTAGCTCCCGGGAACTATGTCCATCTGTTAATAATGACTCAGCTAGCGTGCCAACGTTGCGTCAATCTTTTTTGCGTATAATGCGACACAATAGCTGAGGTGTTTCCCACCACCAGTCAATGTTTATAATTATGGCGATGATGCGTCACTGGGCGCTTGAGCGGACAAAATCACACAGGATTTGTGCAGTAAAATGAACTAAAAAGACATCACTAAATGTAGGACGGCAAAATAGCCTGTAGCTACGGTATACAATGGTGTACTGTACTAAGTTAAATCTTGTCTGCTAGCCTTGAATAGCTGTCCAACGGTATCTCACAGTCACTAAGGGAACTCAAATAGCAACTTGGCACCCGTGGGCCTTAGCGGGTGAGCTGCCGGAAACGCCGTTTGTGGTCTATCAGCTTGTCGCTGGACTTGTTTCGAAAAGATAGCTCCTCTTGCATAGAACTCAGCGATGCGAATCGATTGAGCGTATTTTCAAAGATGTAACACCAGATTTGAAGTTATAGTGCAGTTAGTAGGGCGCACAATCTTATGCGGCCGGCGCGAGGAGTACATCCTTTCACTTGAGCGATATTGGTCAAACCACTGTTTGGGGAACACAAAGTTCTACTCAAATCGCTATAAATAGTTTACATTGTTGTATGTGTCTCACAGCCAGTACAGATAGCGTGTTTGCTCACTTTATGGCCATAATCTGGGTTTGAAATGCATCTGATGCTGGGCATCTTTGGGATTGGACTCAGTGTGGCGTGTGGCATTGAAAGCTGCAAGGAATGCCTTTTTGTACGACAACCAGCTATTCATTATTGGGGATCGCTGATAACTTGTAGGTGTCTTCTCTCTATGTCATCGCTTGTCGTAGTTAAATCGCACGCTTTTCATCTTTTCCCTATCTTAGTAATTGACTTCACTAAGGTCATCATGATTGTATAACAGTAACATACAAGTTGTACTTATTAATTTGCTGCTACTGTATATGACCATAACTCCACTTGTCACAGCAATCTCCCTACAAGTGTACGAAAGCCAACTGCCAGTGTTCAGGTTTCAAGACAAGCATGAATTGCTTATGCGGCATTGAAGCTTACAAACATAACATGGTGGTAAGTGAGAACTGTGTTACGGGTAATTTCATTGCCATATCATCCACATTGACCTTTGCACTTAAACCACCAGCAAAAAGGAATGAAAGATGCCCCCGGCCTAGGCGAGCTGACTCTGTCCCGCTGTAGAGGTAGATACCTGCTTCTTATCCATAATCTGACCACTGGTCTTCAAGAAGTCAAGATTATAGCAGATAACTTGTCCGATTTGGACACACTCTTGGACGAACTGAATGCGCTAGCCGCAGTAAATGGAACACATATGCGTTGCATCTGAAGTGTCGACAGCATTGATATTACGGATAATCAGCCGTGTCGCGAATGGCGTCTCCGCGAAGGGAAAGTGGCGTTTCGCTCAATTCGGAGCTGCACTGGTCACCACTTTGTTGCCCCACCAAGTAATCGAACTTTGTCAATCGTTCGGTCTACCAGCAATCATTATCTCTGCAGCTTGATATGTCTCCGTTGACTGAACTGCTATCTAAAGCAGTACAATGAGGAAGGAGTGTCCAGAAAGCGCAGTAGAATTTGCAAAGCCATTTATTAGCAAACTCCAGGTCTGTGTCTGTACATGAACATCTTTTGCCTCCTCTCAGCATCATCTGTGGCGTGATACAGTATTGCCAAGTAACACGTTTCTTTTCAGCCTGTCTGTGCGTGACGACTTGCAATGTGTTCAGGAAGACTGTGGAAGCAATGACTTCCATCATTATCCGAGGGACCGAATTCGGGGATTATAGCGTTTTATCAACAGTACACTAGTTCCTGATTCCACGCCCAACGCCAATACGATAATGCATAGATCAGAGAGTCAATAATTTCGGTTGTTTTGCTTTTTGTAGCCGTTCTACTTTTTCTTCCTAAACCCTCACACACCATCCTGCTTCGTCTTTTTTATTTGCAATATACAGTTGAACATTGATTACACTCATTTCTACCAAACCAAGTACAACTATGCCTGGGAGGCATACGTAAAGACCCATCTGCATTGAATGTATCTAGTAAACGCCTGCCACTGCATTTCTCCGCAAGGAAATCCAAGGCACTTGGGTACAGATACTGCGTCCCAGAAGGCTCCATTAAGGAGCGTCACAGAGTGTGATACTAGAATGCTAAATATTACTGTCTATGATTTTACTTGGAGGGTTTCAGAAAGACGATTACTGATTCAACAAAGTCAATGAAGGTTTCACTCAAAAACCGCTAGTGCCGCATGGATTGGAACCAGCAAACCTTAACTGTCAACCCAATGGCAGTGGATCCCATTGGAAACCGGGCAGACGAAGAAACATAGCCCCGTTTCCATTAGTTTTCAAGTGGCGTTACGCGCGTGACGTTGTGTAGGTTTGGAAATCCCCAAGTCGTCAACTAAAGTAGCCGTCGGCTTGCCAAAGGTATAAAAGACGCCTTGGTTTTGTCGTTGCTGTTAGTGCTTTAGGTCGCTGTTTGTAACTATAGGCTGGTATTTATAATTTTACTATTGTGACAATGAGCGCTTGCTAGTCTGGCATGAGAATAATGATTGCGAACCAATATCATAAGTTTTTTGGCATAAAAGGTAGATGAACTCATTGGTTAATTTAATGATATATGACACTGACCAAATATCCGAATTGATCAGATACGTGAAAATTCAGAAGCAAAACTGGAATTAAAAGAAGTCTGAGATTTTTCCCTTGAAGGCAGATATAGTCTGTTAACCTCGACGTTATGGTGTACCGCGTGCAAGGTTACGAAAATGCTGCCACCATGTCCAGTATCTATGGGGTTAACGGTCAATGTTCAACAGTATATTACGGAGAGAAGAAAAGCCGAAGCTGGACACTACCTGTTGGATGGTTGCTTAAGAGTAAAAAAAATGAAAGCACAAAATAGCAATCTGGAGATGGTAAACAAACATATTTTATCATATTGCCTGTTACAGTGTTCCCGTCGGAGCGGTACACGCTAGATTTTATGTATTTTCCAAGGTCCCGGTTCATGAATTTCATGCAAAAATTGAGGTGGATATATGTGTATTTCCTTTTTCTGCTGTTTGCGACAGTCGTTTGGATTAGCTGATGTGGCAAAATACGGCCCGTGCATCGCCGACACGTGATTTGAACAGGGTTAACATGGGGACTGAAATAGTGACTTCTGAGGAGGTATTCCACGTGTGGCAAATACACAGCAAGAAGTTTCTTCGTCAGCCCAAACGACTCTAATGTTCGACTAATTTGTGATGACGACCTCTCAGTTCGTTGTTGTGACATAGTTTCAATAGGTGATGGCCCGGGTGATTAGTGTTATAACTTGCTATAACATGATAAGGTCATGACGCAAATGCCTAGCACTTTGAGGTACAATTTGCTGGACAAGTAACGCAGCCCCTTGAGAGTTTTGGTAGCCCGACTTTGCAGTGAGATCCCACTTTAGCTATGGGTGCATTACTTGAAATGCATATTTTACATGGGGGCGTATGTAAGCCGGAGGTACCGTATAGTACAGTGCATAGGCGGACAGTATATATATATATATATTACAGAAGAGTAGTAGGGGGAGTTGAATGGTATAGGTAGAACTTCGTCACATCTAGGCTCACTCAGACAGCCGCCACAAGCCCGGAAAAGCATGGTACGCGCGTTTCATCCTTTCGAGAATCATCAGCAGTGCGCATTCCATCGGACCCTTGGTAGGGCTCGAAACCGCAACTCGACTGTTGCCAGTCCGTGGTTGAGACCACTGAGCTACGGGGGACGGCAACGAACGGTGACGAAGTTCTACCTATACCATTCAACTCCCCCTACTACTCTTCTGTAGTCAGTACGCAGAACAAACTGCTTATAATGCCATAAGATAAATGGCGGCTTAAGTTTGTTAAGCTCGTCGCTTGGTGAGGGGGCTACCCTGTCCTCTGCACGGCAGTAACGTGTAAGTCAGTAGATAGTGAGCGGCGCTATATCACATCTAGTAACTTATTCACGATGGTCGTTGCCGTCCCCCGTAGCTCAGTGGTCTCAACCACGGACTGGCAACAGTCGAGTTGCGGTTTCGAGCCCTACCAAGGGTCCGATGGAATGCGCACTGCTGATGATTCCCGCAAGGATGAAGCGCACGTACAATGCTTTTCCGGGCTTGTGGCGGCTGTCTGAGTGAGCTTAGATGTGACGAAGTTCTACCTATACCATTCAACTCCCCCTACTACTCTTCTGTAATCAGTACGCAGAACAAACTGCTTATAATGCCATAAGATAATTGGCGGCTTAAGTTTGTTAAGCTCGTCGCTTGGTGAGGGGGCTACCCTGTCCTATGCACGGCAGTAACGTGTAAGTCAGTGGATAGTGAGCGGCGCTATATCACATCTAGTAACTTATTCACGATGGTCGTTGCCGTCCCCCGTAGCTCAGTGGTCTCAACCACGGACTGGCAACAGTCGAGTTGCGGTTTCGAGCCCTACCAAGGGTCCGATGGAATGCGCACTGCTGATGATTCCCGAAAGGATGAAACGCGCGTACCATGCTTTTCCGGGCTTGTGGCGGCTGTCTGAGTGAGCCTAGATGTGACGAAGTTCTACCTACCTACATATATATATATATATATATATATATATATATATATAGTGAGCGCCATTCGCTTTCGGATTTGCCTGTCACTGTGGCCAGCCACTGGACGCCTGCGCCTCCAGAGGGAGTATGGTCGGCTTGCGCTGCACCACCTACATCTCCAACCACGCACCCCATATCCAGTGTAAACCCGAAGGAATAAGACTGGGAGGCATGTGGATGGGAGCCACGTTTCATCGACGGAGCCGGCCCACAATCTTTCACAGGCAAACACAAGCACGCTGTATATGGGGAATAAAAAACACACACAAGGCGGTGTCTGGACCGTAGTCCGCTCCCCACTGGGTGCTTGAAACGACCCTTTGAGTTAAGCACGGCCAAGTGAACCGTGCATCCCGTCCTCCAGCCACGATTCACAGTCCCCTGGAGCCAATAATTGAAGTGGAGGGTGTTAGACAGGTAGGCACCTTGTCAAGATGCACATCAAGCGCAGCCACACTGGAGGATCTCAAACAACGTCCATCACTTGGAAAAAGAATATTAAATAATAGTTGTCGTATAAAGCATACGGATATACCGACTTAACTCTTTGCTAAATGAGCATATGAAATAAATTGGTTAGCAACAAATCCGCGATAAGTTCAAGATATCAGCAAATGATATTTTCTTTACTCAAATGCCACGAACGCGAAAAAGGTAACGAATTTAACTACAATCTGCGTAAGCGATGTGTGTAAGTATAAAGAAGCCTATTCAAACAGATGCTCAAAGGACTTAACAAAGTAAGTATTAGCAAAACATAGCAAACCAATCATTTGAAATAAAGATACTCAACACGCAAGCACGCCGTCAGTAAATCGAATGAAGCCTATCTACAAACGCTGTGTCGATTATGCCTAGGTCCTCAGCAGCACCCGTGGTCGTTTCGATGCTCGTCCTGAGTGGCCTCGCTCATGGTTCACTAGGCATGCCTGACTTAAGCATTCGCGACCGCGTGCACAGCACCATGCACTCAACGAGGATGGAGTACAGTCCGTCGGCGCCTGCCGCTTCAGCACCTGCCGCTTCTTCTCTGCATGTACGAGGGCTTCCTCTTGCACCTAGGCAACTGCCTTCCTGCTCAGATCATGCCATGCACGCCGATCCACCGCCTTTGATTCGCATGACCTGCAATCAACATTAGAACGTCGTAGGCCCACTGTGAGCATGTGCTGCTAACGTCGCTTTGGTTTTCCTGCCTGCCGCTTCCCTGCACTCAGTTGGCCATAAAGCAGATGTTTCGGTATGCGCGTCGAATCCATACGCCACACGTGACCGAGCCACCTCAGGTGTCTCAGCAAAAGTATGCAGTCCACTACATACATCCCACTTTGTCGCCACACCATGTCTGCAAGTGTCGCACCAACCGATGTGCAGAATCCGCCGCAGACAGTGTTGATGAAACTGCTCGAGATATCT